GCAGTGGAGATCTTTTTTAAATGTTGGAACCTCATTTAATTTTATGTCTTATAGAGTTTATAATGAGTAAAAGATTATATAAGCGTAATAATTCATCTGTAAACCTAGAAATGTAGAGCCAATTTTGAAAGAGATGTACCCTAGCTCAGAAAAATGTTATTGAATAGGTTAATGCTGTTGTAATGAAATGCTTCTTTTAATTAAAATAAATTAAAAAAAAAAAAAAAAAACAACACATCCGGCACCCACCCGATTGCTTCAGCAGTCGGAATCAATGAGAGCCTGTTAAATGGATTCATTTCAGTATTGCTTCACTATGACCTTTCTCAATACATCAGCAAAAGTATACAAAAATGCATACTGGGGCTGGAGAGATGGCTCAGCAGTTAAGAGCACTAGCTGCTCTTGCAGAGGACCTGGGCTTGGTTCCCAGCACCCACACGGCAGCTAACAACTGTCTTTAACTCCAGTTCCAGGGTATCCAACACCCTCTTCCAACCTGTTTGAGCACTGCATGGACATGGGGCACTTAAGAACATGCAGGCAAAATACTCATACACATTTAAAAAAATCCAAAAAGATTTATTAAAAAAGATGTATACTGAAGTAAGTTACTTTGTCAAAAATTCATTAATGGGTTTTTTTTCAGTTGGCCCAGAAAAAAAAAAAAGAAATTGAGTCTTTCAAAGTGGTCCCTAGATCAGATTGTTTCCTTCTCAGAGGATGGGTGGCTCACATCAGCTACACTGTCTTTCTTGCCGCCCCTTCCATGTGGTAGGAGAGCCCCACCTCAGTGCAGTTACCCTTGCTGTTCTCTGGGTCTGGAACATTCTCTTCTGGAAACTCTGTGTCTTACTCCTGTTTCCCTGCAGGTTATTTCTCATAAGACATCTTTTCAACCAGCTCCACACTCCTAATCCCCTCCCAGCTTCACTTTTCAGATCAGTATTTAATAGCTGTCTAGCACACCTCAGAGCTGGCTGTTTTGCATCTGTTCCTGTTCCAAATCACTACAACAGCGGGGACTTTTTGTTCCAATTTTGCCCAGTTCTACACTTCCAGAACAGTATCAGCCTCATAAAGTTTCAGAATGAGTATTCATTGAGTGATGCTTTCTTTGTAGGTAACAAGCCATGATAAACTTAGATTAGAGGGTGTGTGTGGCCATTTTAATCCTAGGAGACAATGAAATACAATTAAGGACAGTGAATTAATTCCCAAGAAATTTTCAGTCTTTATGCCTTATTACTCAAAAAAAATTGATAAATTTTCTATTTCATAACTTTTTAATATTTTTGTAGAAGAAAATGGAAGCCTTTGCCACAGAAAGAAAAGTTTGATTGAGCACCTGTGTCAGGTGGTGAAGAAGGTGTCTCATGGGAACAGAAGCAGTGCGGTCTCGGCAGCAGGACTCAGCTACACAAAGCTCCCAGTAACCATTCATCTTAGCAAGGGGACGGGACAGGGTGGCACCGCCATGATCTCAGCAGTAGCCAAACAATAAACTTCTATCCAGCTGGTAAATACCCACAGTCAACCCTCAGCCAGCCCTTACCAAAACATTACCCCTTCTGCTGGACCTCTTCAGACCTCTCCAGTAAGAAGAGAGCTAAACCTGCACCCAAACCCAGATTCTGATTCAGTCACTAATGTAACTTCTGATTAAACACTCCGATCAGTCCCCTGGGGGAGGATGTAAATGTGTATCCTTAACGGACCTGTGAAATAATTCAAGAAAGGGGCAGTCTGCAACAAACAGGTAAGAAAGAGGTGCAGGGAGGGCCTGCAAGCATCTAAACACCATGCTCAGTGGAGTATGAAGCTAAGTAAAAACCTTTCCACTGATGTCTCTATGTTCTGAGACTTTCACTTGACATCTTAGAAAAGTAATAAGCTTTTTTCCTCATAGCAGTCAAGGGGAGGTGTGGCAGGCAGTATCACCCATGTTAGCCAGGAGGCAAAGTCACATGCAGCAAGTCACCATGCTGTTAGGGGTACAACAAAGATCGTGTTCTTCGAAGATGTGACGATCATCACAACAAATGTTTTCAAAAAAACCTGTCATAGAAGATGACCATAAAAAAAAATCTACTGGGGGATGGTGGTGAAGAGCTGGTTCAGAGGTTAAGAGCACTGGCTGCTAGGACGGAGGACTGGAATTCGGTTCCCAGCACTCACATCAGGGGGCTCACAACCACCTGTAATTCCAGCTCCAGGGGATACGATACCCTCTGCTGGCCTCTGTATACACCCACACATGTATGCATACTCACATAGACACATATGCACTTTAAAGAAAAAACTACTAGGATCATAATTACAAGTAACAAACATACAGATAGGTGCATATTAAAGGGCTTTGACTGTAATGTTAAAAGTACTTTGTGACCTAAAGTGTGGCATGTGACATTCTGGAAGAAA